AAGTTCCTACTCCCCTCAGAGACCTCGGCCAGCTCCTCCTCCTCGACTTCCTCTTCCTCGGCCTCCCTGGGGGCCGGCACTGCGGCCGGGCTGGGGAAACGGACGGAGGCCTCTCTAGGTCCCGATCCCTGCGGCGTCCTGCCTGGGGTCGTTCCTAAGGAGGCCATGAGCCTGGAGGCTCTGCGGATGCAAAAAGTGCGGGCAGTTCAGAAGCAACGCTCCACGGAGCCCGGGGTAGGGTGGCGCGCTGAAGGCAAAGAACTGAGTCCTTCTGCTACAGGGCTGCGGGGCAGGGCTGAGGGGCGTGGAGAGCTGTGGACGCGGGCATGGGTACATTTTGAGGGGGTGAATTATCGGGTATTTAACTAAAGCACAGATTGTGGGAAACTCCACGCGCCCCATCCTCATTTCTGTCACGCGGCGGTTGTACTTTGGAAGAGGTCTGAGGGTCCTATGGAGCGAGTCGTGCACGTCTTATATCTCTGCCTCTGCTAACCACGCGCCAGGACCACAGCCTCACGCTCTTATCTTCCTCCTCCCCCAGCTGCCTCCATCGCAGCGCTTTCCCGCCTTTTCGGTCACCTAGGTCGCGACACGAGAGAGAACGCCCCACTGACTAACCACCTAGAGTCTGCGGGACGGACGCGCGGGTGCGTGAGCGGGGTGCGCGCGCACACGCCCCGCCCTCCTAGCCGCTATTGATTGGAGAGGCCCTGATCCAGCCTAGAGATCCGACAGAGTGAGGAGGAGGGGCGTATACTGCCGTTGCTGAAGAGTGTGGACGCTGATTGGCCTATTTGCATTCGGGGCGGGTCTAGAACGTTCAAACTTCCCGCCCTCTGCCGTTGCTTAGCAGCCGCGCCTCTAGCCCTCAGGGTTTCTAGACTTTGATTGGCACAGTGGGAAGCCCGAGAGAAGGTCGGTTAAGGGGCTGCAGTCCCAGTCCCTGGAAGGGTTCTGGGAGCGTTGCGGGGGGTATGAGAAGGAGGCCAACCTTAAAGAGCCAGAGGCGCGCTTTTTTTTTCTGCAACAACTCTAAGTTAATATTTGTACCCTCTGAGTTAATATTTATACAGAGCTTAGAAGTGCCTGGCAAACAAAGTAAGATCTACTTGAGCGGTGTTTCAAATAAATAAGAGGAAATAAGCAAGACTCCTGTCTCAGCGCTACCTTGTCTGTTTTCTGGGTGCAGGGTATGACCACCCCCATAATGGCGCAACGGGGCCTAATTTATTATTTAAACCCCTCAAGTGGAGGTGGAAGCATTTGAAATACACCAAATTCTGGCAGAGACAAGTAGTTCTGAACACCACACCCCTCCCTACTGGGATATGCCCATACCCCTTTGCACATCTGCACACCCCTGAATACAGAGAGGTATCATTCATGCATTCAGCAACTATTTATTTAGTGCCTATTCTGGACCAGGGCATGGACTCAAAGCGGTGAACATAATGAAGTCCCTGCTCCATAAAGCTTATTTGTGCGTGTGTGTGTGTGTGTGTGTGTGTGTGTGTTGGGAGTGAAGTTATGAGAGAGAAATATGTATATATATAATCCCTTAAAATGCACCATCCTCCCCAGCTTTGTTCTCACTACCCTGAGATGGGGAGAGTCCTCCCCAGCCCCCCAACTCAAGAAGTTAGGAACGATGGTGAGGGTGAGATGACCTAGCTATGCTACCCAGTAGTTGGAACATCCCCTCCAGCAAGAAAGGTGGGGGAACAGAGTTAAGAGCTGGGTTAATGGTTACCCCTGGCAAATTTGTTGAGCAATGAAGCTGTAGAAACTTGGAGGAGGTTGGTGACAGATCTAGGGAGTGTCAGGGAGGGACCCACCTTCCAATCTGGGGTGTGAAGAGATTAGGGACTGGTTTACCAAGCCCAGGAAGGGGAGGGAGTGGAAAGAAGCCCAGAGAGGGAAAGAGGAGATACTGAAATAGAAGAAATGCAGGGAAAAGGAGGTAAGATGGAGGGAAACCTCTGATGCAGGATTTGAGGGGCAGCCCTGGCCTCAAATCCATGAGGCTCTGCTGGATGGTTCCAGGAGAGGGCATCCTTGCCTGTCACTTGGTAAATTAAGGCATGATGGGGTAGTCATGCCAGCCAGCCAAAGTCAATATTGGTATCAAGGCAGCTGTAGCTATAAAGCGGTAGGAGAGAAAAGAGAGGCTGCCAAACCTGTTTGATCCTCAAGCTGGCTCCATTTACATAAGGTTTCTTTTGGACACAGACCAGTTGGAACAGGAGAGGACCCTGAGAAGTAGAGCTGCTTTGATCTCCTCCCCTCAGTGGGAAGGGGTCCTGTGTGCAGATTTTGAGGGTCACCGTGGAGGGGATTCACACACACACACAGTCATGGAGTCATTCTATATCCTTACAGGACGTTACAGTTCAAGGGAATGAACACCAAAAGATAGCCCTTCTATTGGGAGAGAAAAAGGCCCTCCCACAGGCAGGAGGAAACCCACAGAAGAGGAAGCACAAGAGGAAACCACCAACTGCTGGTTTCCAGCAACACATCACGTCACTCCACCCCACTCCTCCCCTAAGTCTCTCCCTTTCTTTAAGTTTCAAGCCCTGTTTATTTTGTTTGTTTGTTTGTTTTCTTTTTTGAGACGGAGTCTCGCTCTGCTGCCCAGGCTGGAATGCAGTGGCGAGATCTCGGCTCACTGCAACCTCCGCCTTCTGGGTTCAGGGGATTCTCCTGCCTCAGTCTCCTGAGTAGCTGGGATTACAGGCACACACCACCACGCCCAGCTAATTTTTGTATTTTTAGTAGAGACGGGGTTTCACGGTGTGGTCAGGCTGGTCTCGAACTCCTGACCTCGTGATCCGCCCTCTTGAGTCTCCCAAAGTGCTGGGATTACAGGCGTAAGCCACCACGCCAGCCAAGCCCTGTTTTGCTTCTGTGTTCTTGTACTCCACCATGGTTTTCTGGAACTGTAGTTCTTTTGTTAGACAGAGAGTGACGAGGAAGAAAGAGAAGAGATGATTGGACAGGAGAGAAATTCAGGATATGGAGGCTGGAATTCTGGGGCTATTTTTCAGCAGATCATAAAACGTTTAATAGAAATCAAGGTTACTGAGGAGAGAGCTGCTCTTCCTGTGGCCTCCCTGTTTATTTAGGTGTCCCCAAGGACTCCACTCACACTATTCTGTCGATCTTTGCTTTATCCCCATGTCAGGACCAGCTAACAATACCCCTACCCCATCCCCCACACACATACCTCAGGATTGCGGCAGCTCTATCCCAGAGCCATGATAATCCCACCCCTCTGCCCCATCTCCAAGGCAACCTGTCAGTGAGAAGAGGACAAAGGGCACAGGAATGGGCCCCAATAGGAAGGATAAGTGGAAGCGCAAAGCTGACTAAGCTATAGGAATAGACATCCCCCTGCAACAAAGCCCCTTGCCTCAGCTTCTTGTTTCCTTAGCACAAGATTAGGTCATCTCCCTTCCCATCTCTATCATCCCTAACTCTACTTTCTTTTTCATTTTTTTGAGACAGACTTTTGCTCTTGTTACCCAGGCACCAACTCGGCTCATTGCCAACTTCAACTCCCAGGTTCAAGCAATTCTCCTGCCTCAGTCTCCTGAGTAGCTGGGATTACAGGTGCCTACCACCACGCCCGGCAAATTTTTGTATTTTAGTAGAGACGGGGTTTCACCATGTTGGCCAGGCTGGTCTCAAACCCCTGACCTCAAGTGATCCACCCGCCTTGGCCTCCTAACGTGCTGGGATTACAGGCGTGAGCCACCCCGCCCAGCCCCTAACTCTACTTCGATCCCAAGTCTAGGCCACAAGGACTGCAACTCTTAGGGAAGTCCTAGTGCTGAGCTGGGCCCAGGGACAGTAGACTGTGCCCAGGGGCACAGGACCTACTGAGACACACCATCTAGGCAGCTCAGGGAGTGCTGGCATCACCTCTTTCCTAATCCCAGGCTGCACAGCTAACGGTTCCTATTCCCAATCCCAGACTTCCACTTCCAAGTTCTTCTCTCAGACTACAGCCCGGGCAACCCAGAATATGGATTGGCATCCAGAAGAAATGCAGAAGGCTTAAACGACCACCTTTCATTCTAAGACCCCATCCCTGGATCTTCATGGGTGTTCCCAAGCTGTTAGTGTCGTTTTTTGTATGAGGGTCAGTCGGGTTATACTCAAATTAATGAAGCAGGGAAACTGAGGCAGAAAAAAGTCCTGTGTTCAGGAGATATCGGAGTAACAAGGTTTTCAGGACTCCTCCGTAACACTCCCATCCCCATCCGGTGGGAGATCCGAGGATTCTCCCTCCCGACCCACTCCCTACCTCGTCGAGCCCCGCCCCCCTCCAGTCCCCTCCCCAGGTTCAGGGCGGGGCCGGTCGGTGAGTCAGCGGCTCTCTGATCCAGCCCGGGAGGGGACCGAGCTGGAGGAGCTGGGTGTGGGGTGCGTTGGGCTGGTGGGGAGTCTGAGAACAAACAGGGTCTGATTGGGCTTGTGTTGCGCTGAAGGGACAGCCCTGGGTCTAGGGGAGAGAATCCCTGAGTGTGAGACCCGCCTTCCCCAGCCCCAGCCCCTCCCAGTTCCCCCAGCGACGGCCACTTCCTGGTCCCCGACGCAACCATGGCTGAAGAACAACCGCCGGTCGAATTGTTCGTGAAGGTAAGAACACTTCTCTCCTCAGCCACCCAAATTCCTGGAAGCCAGCTCTCACCTTTCCCCCGGTCCAGCCTTAACTCCCCAATCCCTTCCCTCCTTGACTCCCACCCGAATCCCACGTGCACTCTTTGGTTCAAGGGTGGTTTTGGGAGGGGAAGACCTTAACTTGTTAGCAGGTAATAAGAATTCTAGAATCAACTCTGAAAAGTTTGTAAAAGTGCAAGTTTCTAGCAACCTAAAGGAAGGGAATTAGAGAAAAAGAATTCCCAAAAGTGAGACTGCAGTGCGGGGTGGGGGGGGAGCTGATGAAGGGACCGTGGGGGCCCAGCAGAGTTTAGAAAGGACAGAGGGGAACCTCGGCTAGGACATGTGGCCCTATAAGATCTGAGGGTGAGTAGCGTAGTAGGGGAGGGGTGTGTGTGTGTGGTTGGGTGTGTTAAGGGAGGCCTGAGAGTGAGAGCAAGTACACTGGGACGCTTTGGAGGGGTGGAACAAAGCCAGAGACTGGGATTGGAGTTCAGAAAGCAGAGCTGGAGAGGTGGTGGGGTGGTATCGAATATCCCCCGGTCTGGGGAAGGGGAGAGAAGGGGAGGTGGCAAGGAGACGTGAGTTGAACGTAGCTACCACTAGGACGGGTGGGAGAGAGATCAGGCGGAAGGAGAGCTCGATTAGGGCATTTTGGGATGGTTGGAGAAGCAGGAGATTTGCCGCAACTCTCTCCGCTCTCTTCGGGTGTGGGTGAGGAGAGATGGTCCTATGGCATTTGGGTACCAAGACTGCAGGCGGCAGGCTTCTCGGCCTGGCTCCCCTCCTACTCTAGCGGCTGCTCCCCTCCAGACCGCTGCTGCATTCTTTTCCCAGCCTCGGGACCTCCTGTCTGTGCCCCTCCCTCCCTTCTGTAACTGCGTCCTCTTCTCCCTGCTCCGTTTGTGTCTCCCTGTTGGCACGAATGTCTCCCCACCCTCCACTTTCCTGCTGCCTTTCTTTCCACTTCCCGGGACCCTTTTGTTCCTCTCATCTTTGTATCTCTGCCTGTGTCTCCCTCTCCCTTCTGCTTGGGTGTCTTGGGCAGCCATTCCCTCTCCCTGGGCCGGGGAAGTCGGAGCGTGCCTGGGTCCGCCCCCTTAGGTGTGGTCCCCACCTCACTCTCACACTGGCCTCTGGGGCTATTTTTACTCCTGGGTGAGGCTGTGCTGCAGAGATTCTGGCCCTGTGTCCTGTGAGAGGATGGTTATCTGCAGTAAGAGGACTTGTGCTGGGAGACCCTGGCAGCGGGTTGGGGGGGGGTAGGCTTAGCTGCCCAGGCCTCATCCTCACAGGTCCCTTCCCCCACTTCCTTGACAGGAAGGAAGCTGCTGAGGCCAGAGACAGAGAGATGAATCATCCTCAGCTTAGGGGGAGGTGTCCCTTGGGCCAATGAGGTCACCACTTGCTAATTAGAGGGCAATCCCCCTCTGTAGGGCCCTCCACATCTCTAGAGCTCTGGCTCCCAAACCTGTCCTGTCTAGAGAATCTGCTTCCTTCAGGAACCCAGAAATCCAGGCTTCTGGCCTACAACTCTGGCCTCACTGAATTTCCACACACTTCCCTTTCTAGGGTAGGATTCAGATCCTCCAAGTTCTCCAGGACCTCTTCCCTCTGCCTCCCTCTCACTGTCCTCAGTCTCTGGGGAACCAGAAGCCTGCCTTTGCAAAAAAATTTCCCATCGATCTGCTTTAGGTTTGACCCAGGCCCAAGGGCAAAGAGTCCATAGTGAGGGGACAGTGTATGTGTCATGACTAGGCAGAAAGCAGCTGGTCTGGGAGTGGGAGTGCAGAGACTGGCCTGGGGGTGGGTGGGGTGCACCAGGCATAACCTTGGGCTGGGGTTGCTTTTCAGGCTGGCAGTGATGGGGCCAAGATTGGGAACTGCCCCTTCTCCCAGAGACTGTTCATGGTCCTGTGGCTCAAGGGAGTCACCTTCAACGTTACCACAGTTGACACCAAGAGGTAGGCTTGCTTCTGTTCCTCAAAACACCCCTTGTGTACACATGTGTGCAAACACACACTCACCCACCTGAGTCCTTCTATCTTGAATATTTTTGCCCTCCTCCTTGGAGTCCATTTCTTATCCTACATCCCTCCATCTCCACTTTCTGGTTCTCCCTGACCCCCATTTCCAGTCCTGATGCCTGGCCCTTTCTCCAGGCGGACCGAGACAGTGCAGAAGCTGTGCCCAGGAGGGCAGCTCCCATTCCTGCTGTATGGCACTGAAGTGCACACAGACACCAACAAGATTGAGGAATTTCTGGAGGCAGTGCTATGCCCTCCCAGGTATGGGGACACTCAGAAAAGGGAGAGGTTGCAGCACAGGGAGATTTTAGGAAACAGACAGTTTGCAGAAATGGAAAACAGAGGTGATGGTGGGGCTGGGGCAGGGGAGCTAGCTGAGCTTCCTCCCAGGAAGACATCTTACCTCATTTTTCCCATTGGCTTTCAGGTACCCCAAGCTGGCAGCTCTGAACCCTGAGTCCAACACAGCTGGGCTGGACGTATTTGCCAAATTTTCTGCCTACATCAAGAATTCAAACCCAGCACTCAATGATAGTGAGTCTTGTGGGTCAGAGGCTTGGGTCCTGGGAGGAAGAGAGGACCCAGTGGGTGGGAGACATTAGGGACACCTGGAAGTTCAGATATAGGGAGATGAAACAGATGTTGGTAAATCTCCCCCAGCTTCCCATTTTTCCTTTACCTCTATATTTCCCTGAAGTTTCATTGTCCAAGACTTTTAAACCTTTCTCATTTGTCCCCTAGCCTCTTCTGCCCCACTGGGGACATTAGTTGGTTGCTGGCCTATTTTCTGGCAGAATAGAGTTGTGCTTAAGAACAGTCATCACTCTACATCCAGACTACCTGAGTACAAATCCAACTAGCTGTATAACTTTAAGCATTCATTTCACCTTTCTGTAAGTCCATTTCCAGATCCAAAAAAAATTTTTTTTTGAGATCAAGTCTCACTCTGTTGCCCAGGCTGGAGTGCAGTGGCATGATCTTGGCTCACTGCAGCCTCTGCCTCCCAGTTCAAGTGATTCTCCTGCCTCAGCCTCTCAAGTAGCTGGGATTACAGATGTGTGTCACCACGCCCAGCTAATTTTTGTAGTTAGTAGAGACGGGGTTTCACCATATTGGCCAGGCTGGTCTCGAACTCCTAACCTCAGGTGATCCACCCACCTCAGCCTCCCAAAGTGCTGGGATTACAGGCATGAGTCACCGTGCCTAGTAATAATGAGTTTTTTAAATGTAAAGTGCTCGCTTTGGGAGGCCGAGGGGAACAGATCACTTGAGGTTAGGAGTTGGAGACCACCCTGGTCAACATGGCTGGTCTCTACTAAAAAAAAAAATACAAAAATTATCCATGTGTTTTGGCAGGCACCTGTAATTGAAGCTACTTAGGAAGCTGAGGCAGGATAATCACTTGAATCTGGGAGGCAGAGGTTGCAGTGAGCTGGGATCATGCCACTGCACTCCAGCCTGGGCAATCAAGCGAGATTCCATCTAAAAAGAATTAAATAAAATGGAAAATGCTTAGAATAACACATAGGAAAGTAACTACATGAGTGTTAGCTATTATTATTTTGGACTCACCATAAGTATCCACACCCAGTGGGCCTTCTCAGATTATGTCAATCTTTTCCTGAAGTTCTAATCAATT